AGGAAGGAAGGAGGGAAGGAAGGAAGGAAGGAAGGAGGGAAGGAAGGAAGGAAGGAAGGAGGGAAGGAAGGAAGGAAGGAAGGAGGGAAGGAAGGTCAGGATAATTGACCTTTGTGTTTTCTTCCAAGAAGAGTTTTTTATGGCTTCAGCTCATACTTAACTCACTGATCTGTTTTGAGTTAATTTTTGAAGATGGTGAGAAGTAGAGTTCCCAAACTTCCTTCTTTTGCAAGTGGCTGCCCAGATGTTGCAGCATCATTTACTTGAAAAGATTGTTCTCCTCTCATTTAATTAGCACCTGTTTAGGGTTCTCCAGAGAGACAGAGACAGTAAGATAAAAATATAATCGCACATATAGTAACAGGTAGAGATAGGAGAGGGGATTTATTAGGGGAATCTGCTTACATAAATATGGAAGGAAGAAGACCCAGGGTAAGCTGGCTGCAGGCTGAAGAACTGGGGAGAAGCCTGTCTTAGTTCAAGTCCCAAAGACTCAGAAGCAGGGAAGGTGGTGGTGTGACTCTCAGTCCGAGACTGAAGGCCTGAGAACCTGGAGGCTAATATCCAAGGGCAGGAGAAGAAAAGTTTCCCAGCTCCAGGTAAGGGAGGGAGGGAGGGAGAGAGAGAGAGACTCTCCTTCTCTCTGACTTTTTATTCTATGCAGGTACCCAGGCCCTCAGCTGAGTGCATGTTGCCCCCTACACACACTCTGCCCTGGATGGTGTCGGGCAGCCTGGGGACCTGCTGTGAACAAGACCTGGGCTCACCTGACCCAGAAGCCACTCTACCCAGGGGTCAGGACCACCTCACACCACTTAGAGCCCAGTCAGCGTCCCTGGGGCAGCCTCACATTGGCCACAGGCCTCCTTGTTCCCTCCAGGGGGCGATATCAGGACAGAGAAAATACTGAGGAAATGAAAATTCTCAAATCTGAACCTGACTTTGGCTGAGGAGGTGGAGATGGAGCCTGATTTCCATATCTTGCCCAAGAGACCTTTCTGGACCCCCCCCCACAGGCCTGCTGCATCCTACCAGATCCTTCCAGGGGACTCCGAGGGCCCTGCTCTCCCAGGGGGCTGCCCTGTCAGCTCGCCACTCCCTCCTGGAACCTGCCATGAAGAAGGTAGGGTGACCACAGGAGGGTCAGCAGGGTGGAGGGCAGCAGGCACCCAGGTCGTCAGGGAGAACAGGGATGGGCCCTGAGCCACAGCTCAGCTACCAGATACAGAGAGGGAGGGTCCTCCGAAGACTTCTCTGAGGACAGTGGAGCCCAGACCCCCCATGACCTCCCTATCTCCCTGCACCACCGTCCTCTCTTCCCAGGACAGAGGACAATGCTCCCTCCACACCCAGGGGCTACAATACCTGGGTCAAAGACCAGGCTGGTGACTCCGGAGATGCAGGGTGGGTCCCAGAGTCATGACTCCCAGCCATCACAAAACTACCCATTTCAGGACCTCAGAGCCATTCCTGCCACCTGGCGGCCAGGTGTCCGCCTTCTCTGCAGTGTTATGGACAACATGGGAAGACTTAGGACCCAGCTCAGTTATAAAGGGAAGGATTCCCCCAGTTTGGGAACCCCCAGGGCTCGCTGGCAGTGCTGACAGACCCAACAGGGTCAGTGATGTAGTGTAGTGTTGGGTCATCCCTTCAAGGCACAGGGGCCCCAACAACCCTGCTTCTCAAAGTGAAGCTTAGAAACTGAAATGCAGACAGAGGGAAAGGGGAAGGAAGGACAAGGAGGCAGGACTAAAAGGGGAGGGGACAGGGAGGTGTCCTCGGCACAGCACCCACCCCGTCACACGTGACCAGACAAAGCTCTGGGCCCCAAGGAGGAGGCCCAGCACAGAGGGAGGAAAGACAGAGCAGACCTGTCAGAGCAGCTGTACCTGTGAACGTTCCTGGAGCCGAAGCTCTTCTGCACAGAGGAGGACAAAGTAGGTGGCAGGGACTATGGAGACCCCTTCAGTCCCTCCCTGTACCCGTCGTGTCCCCTGGCAGGGGCTCCTGCTCATAGGTGAGAGGGAAGATGCCTTGGGGGTGGGCAAGAGGAGGGAGCACAGACACTGGCTGGGGCCTCCTGGGGAGGACGGGGCTCTGAGAGGGACAGGGGGCTTCTGCTGGAGCCTGAAGAGAGTAGATGGGGGGCTCAGCAACAAAAGTCCTCACACAACTAGAACTACAGAGGTCAGGAAGATCTCGGGTGTTCTGTTCTCCAAGTTAATCACTGCTGGTTACTACATATTTAAGATGATAATAATAATAATCAAATCAGGCAACATTCCAAAGAAAAGCATAACCGGGGCACTAAACATTACTCTTACCACATCACAGATTATACTTTCGGCAAATAAACACCAGGACATGCAGGGCCCTGGGAACACTCACTAAGGCACTCACAGGTGTCTGCAGCCTGTCCCAGGCTCTGGGGGACAACACAGGCCAGACAAGTCCCTGTCCTCACAGAGCTCACGTTCTAGTGGGAGGAGGACAGATGAGCAGAGAGATCTCAAATGTGAGGTCAGGTATGGATAAGAGCCTGAGAGGGAGCAGGCAGGGAAAGGTCACAAGGGGAAGACCCAGCGTCCCTAGAGGAGGTGGCCAGGGAAGGGGCAAGGACTTCCTTGAATGTGAGCAGGGGTCTGAGGGCAGTGGGGGGTGAGCCATGCAGACACCTGGGAAGAAGATTCCAAACAGGGACCTGACCAGTCAAAAGGCGCTGAAGTGATGGGGTCATGCTGCTGACCTTGACCCAGAGGAACACACACTCACACACTCACACTCAACCTTACCTAAGGTTGACAGTAACGACACCTGTTCAGGACCCAGGGCCCCATTTTCCATCCCAATACAAAGTTCCTAATAAGGATCAATTCTCTCTCCTCCCTCCTAGTCTCACTTCTCACCTCCTGGAACCCGCCCACCACTGCCCAGCTCACTGTTGAAACCGTGCCGCCCAGTGCTGCAGAGGGGACAGATGTCCTTCTACTCGTCCACAGTCTGACAGACAGTCCTTTGGGCTACAGCTGGTACAAAGGAAACAGGGTGGATAGCAGCAGTCAAATTCTAGCATACCTAGTAGCCACTCAGACGAGTACCCCAGGGCCTGCACTCAGCGGTCGAGAGACAATATACCCCAATGGGACCCTGCTATTGCGGAATGTCCCCCAGAACGACACAGGATACTACACCATACAAGTCTTAACACAAAATCTTCTGAGTGAAGAAGCAACTGGACAGTTACGCGTGTACCGTGAGTGATTCTGTGACCTCTGGGTGCTGGGGGGGTTGGTTCTACTTCATGCACACGGGTAGTCAGAACTGGGCAGCTTCTGCCTCCCCCTCTACGTCCTGTCCCATGTTGGGGTTTGGGTATCAAGTGCAGGACACACACTGTGGGACAGACTTCAGAGATCAGAATCCTTTCCTGCATCCAGACCCTGCAGACATTCCCTGGGGAAGGACCAGTCTGACGGGACAACTCAGCAGGGAGACATCAGTCTCAGACCAGCACCCCTGGGCCCTCCCCATAGACATGACCATGAGAAGGAGCCTGTGGGACTCAGCCAGGGCCTAGTCTGAGGGTCCCCCTAGGATCCTCACAGAGAAGTTCAGGCCTGGGGCTCCTGAGTCCAGGTGACCCTGGGGAGCCTGTGGCCAGGGCTGGGCTTTGGCCCCCTGGGCAGGGCTGACTGGGTATGACGATTTACCAGCTGTCTGAGGACTGAAGCTCCTTGGGCTGGTCACCAGTCAGGGCTGGACCCCACAGCCTGGGCAATTACAATGCCCAGTTAGTGGCATGAGGCTCAGTGTGGGTGGCACAGACAGTCTCCTCAGGCCATCAGCACAGTGCACTGGGGACCTAAGAGACTTCAGGGAAGGAACAGAGGAGAGAGGAAGCTCCTGGAGGCAGCTGCTCACAGGGATCAGGCTGAGAAGCTCCTTCATGGGCTCCAGCAATAGTCGATGCTGTTTATTTGGCAGCTCCTCTACACAAAGCTTTAGGTCGGGTAACTGGAAATACTAAGGTTAACTCACAGTCGTGATAAGCCAGAGACCATTGATGACTTATCCTATTTTACCGAGGGGAAACGGAGGCACAGGGCCATACAGTCATTGGACTGGGTCACACAGAACATGACTGGAAGATCAGAGCCCCGGGAGGCCTGTCTGCAGCCACAGCCTCAACCTCTCCGCAACGCTGGGCCCTTACTAGGCATCTGGGGCCCCAGTGCCAGTCCTTGGTTCAGCTGCTTTCTTCTCAGGCGTCTGCAGCTCAGAGGGGGAAATTGCAGTCTGGGAGTAAGATCAAATGGAGAATTAATCAGTTTTCCTCCAGACCTAGACCTCTTGCCTCAGCAAGCAGAGTCAGTGCCTGGAATACCCAGGCATACCCTCGGACCCCTCTTCCCACTGGACTTGAATCCATGTTCTTCCTGGTGTGTCCATGTCACTCCTGCCAAGGACATAGGATAGGACTTGGCTCTTCCTCCCCCCACTCACACCCTGCACCAGCACAAGCTTCAGTGTGTGACACCCTCAGTAGTTCTCTGATGAAGGAGGGAGGGAATGAGTGAACGATCCACAACCTCTTCAGAGACTGGATCCCGGGTGCAGAATCCAGACCACGCCTGCCTGTTCCCTTCCCTCAGGGGCTGAGACCCATGCTCCATCCCTCTGACCCCTGCCCCTACAGCCGCCAGGAATCTCATCTCATGTGACCCAGGGGCTTCCAGACTGTAGGTGGGTTTGGGGGCTCCCTGGTCCTGGTTCTGGGGTCTCCGAAGTCCCTGGAAGCCCCGTGCTCACTGCTGTGGTGTGTCTGGCTCTCCGTTCTCCCTCCATGTCCCTCATCCCCCACCCCCTTTGTTCCAGCCAGGACTGCTCCTGCCCTGCATGGCTAACAATGGCTGCCTGTCTTGGTCGCTTAACACTGTGGCCGGACTCCCCTCCTAGGCAATAGTAAAAGCATGGAAATAAGTCAGAGTAGCTGCCCCTGCCAGGCTCTATCATGACCCACTGCCACCAGATCACCTGGAGAAAGAGCTTCCACAGTGTCCCCACCCAGAACTCTTTCTGTCTGTGGGGCCAACTTATGGGACAGGCCACAGGACAGGAACTCCCTACACTACCTCACCAGGGGTCAGAGGAGAGGGCCAGGTCTGCAACCCCTAAAGTCACAGGCTCATTTCACCCATTTCACTGACTCCTGACTCCAGCCTCATCCTGACACAGGGCTCCCACCCTCCCTGGTTCCCGGGACCATCCCAGAGGGAGCTGGCCAGACCGGTGCTGTTGGAGAGGTGGACAGCCTGTTCCACATGCACCTGTGTCCCTCATGATGAGACCATTACTGGAAAGTAGGTTCCCTCTGACAGTGAGATAAGCCAGTCTCACTTAGACTCTGCCCAGTTTCGATGAATTTCATGAAACTCTGGTTGTGTTTTCTGAGGTTGAGAGAAAAGGAAGAAAGCACTTCATACACCTTGCTGGGCTCCTGCCCATTTTGCCTAACTTGTCACAGGAATTAGGGACGTGGGCCCTTTCCAAATTCACTAACATCACACATGTCACTTCTCCTAATTTGGTATCATTCTTCTCTTTTTATTATTGCGACACCTCAGACTTCCTCTGACCCATGCTGTCCTCTTGACAGGACATGTGTCTCTCTCTGCACAGGGAGTCACTGACCCCAAACCCACTTCAGCATCTTCCTTTGAGCATAATGTGACCTCCCAGACTTCGGAGCTTGCTCCAAGACCTTATGGGGCTCTCTAGAGAAATATTCATCCCAGCAATTGGTCTTAGAGCTTGACTATTATGCTGCCCTTCAGATTTGGAAGACACTTAATTTCTCAAATTTCTATCCCAGATCCATCAATACACAAAGTGCATGAGGGCCAGATTTCCAGCACATTCATGCTCCCTTTCCACCACTCAAGCTTGTGTTTCCAAATGTCCGCGTGTATTTCAGGAAAATCCACATGGTCTGGCTCGGCACCTGTAGCTCAGAGGCCAGGGTGCCAGCCACATACACCAGAGCTGGTGTGTTTGAATCCAGCCTGGGCCTGCCAAACA